CAAATACTGCAATATCCACTTAACAGAATAAATGAGCACATCTGAACAACAACCCTGCTAATCTTAAGGCTTCAGCCAGTATCTTTTCATGAAAAACAATAGAAAAAATTTTGCATTTCACTTCCTAACAGATCAGGTGAAAACAAAATCAAAGAAAAATCTGTGTGTCATCTCAACTAACTTTCTGAAAGGAAGAACACAGTACCAATGTGAGCCATTCCCGTAATCTAAAAGCATACAGAGAACCACTGAATCAGGTTTTTGTGACTTTGCTTTAAGTCATTTCAGGACTGATGATACAATGCAAATTATTTCCATATCAACAAACTGATCTTTGTGAGTCAGACTCCAGCAAGAGTCGTCCCTTCTTTTGTTAGAAAACAAAGAATAAAAGGAATAGAGTAAGCTATATTTTTATCTCAGTCATAGCCATAAACCCTGAATGCCATCACTGGGATAGGAGCATTCTCTTGAATTCCAGCCCATGAGATGCCTGTTGAAACTTAGCAGCTTTTTGAACAGTACATCCTATATCTTTGCACGGGGTTTTGCAGTGCACTAGACAAAGTTACGCTCACATTTACATGCATTCAGTGAGGCATTGCTTTAAAAAAAAAAGTCTTTGAATAGAGGCTCCAGGCACAGAGCCCAATATGCAAGGCCCATATCAATATAAAACATAATCCAAACTAAAAAGAATTCACAATACAATTAAACACAAGCAGGCAGCATGTAGGAATTCATAAAGCTGCTACAAGCAGTTTCTCTTGAGCACAGCCTGCTCAAGCAGAGCAAGTCTGGCTGTTTACAAGGTAAGTTTGCAATTATAAGAGCACTTTTAATAGTAGCAATGTAATTTTAATCAACCTCTCTCTCCATTACTCATACCTGCTCCTATGTCACCCTTGACTTCTGCTGGAACAACCATTTTTCTGGCTGCATAATAAAATACATTGGGAAACAGACCCAGTGCAGGAGAGCAAGCCTCACAGAAAAAGAAAGGGTATTTTTTAACCCAGACTGTTTCCTCAGTGATTCTTAGTACCAGCTTTCACCAAGAAATACTCCAGCACAAAAGAAAAGTGACTCAATAAGCACATGCAAAGAAAAGCATGTGGAATAATAGAAATGTTGGTGAAACTGCAAGATCAGCCTATGTATCACAAGGGGATTAGAGATAAGGGTTGATGTTTGTTGCTTTTACCCTGGCACAGTTAAAAGGGGCAATCTGAGTACCATTGCTCCTAGCAAATAAGATGATTCAAAGAGTTTCCTGACACCTGTATTTGTCCTCCTTACGACATCTGTGCCTCTCTGCAGGTGGAAGACAGAGTTTGCTTTGGGCCAGATAGGCTTTACAAGTAGTTTTTTAAAAGATTTGTGTGCTACCTCAGGATTTTGAAATTAAATTCCTCAGACTCTCATCAAGAGCCAAGATAACATTTAAAGACACTTAAATCTGTGGTTCTCTATGCTGTGTAGTCATCTCACATTACTCCAGTCACGAACCACTTACAGGTGTTTTCTAGTCAACAACTTCAGTGATAAATTGCTGTGTGTAGACATCATACACAGACAGAATAAAAATAACAAAACACATGCAGAAGAAGACTATTGACAGTCATATTGAAAGCATTTTACTTTGTGAATTCAGCAAAAATAGGAAAAACAAACTGACCAAAAAATCAAAACCAACCAACTATTCAATATTTCCACATCAATGGTCAGCATAAAACACTGAAACAAAAGACAAGTAAAGATAAGAGACATTTGAGTTATTCTGGTGTCTCTCATCAGTGTAAACTCATGTACTTAACTTTTTACTTTTTGGATTCCAACTGAATGTCATACACATAGGAATAAGTTCTTAACTGCTACATCACTGGCAACTTTGCCAAACTTTTGGCAAACTGGAAATGTGACAACAGGCACTAAAATTACTGCATGACCCTCTAGACCTCTTTAGAGGTACCCTTTAAAAGGAATTGTTTAAAAAAAAGTACAATCAGGTTTACAAAACCAACAACTTGTTTTGTTAATTATTTTGTTCTAATCATCTCCTATTTTTGAGGAGTAAAAGGTTTAGTTTCCACCATTTAGGCTACATTTGCCCTTTACATGCAGCACTGAGCCTCAGTACCAGGTGAGGTTCCTGGGCAAGCACCCTTGAGCTGTGGTGAGGGGCAGAGGAATAGTGAGGGAAACAAGTATTTCTTCTTTTCCAACTACCCAGGCTTTGAGAAGCAGCTTAAAGTTTCAGATATCCATTAGCCTGAAGTAAATATGAGTGTTGGGCTACAACATTATTCGTATAAAATCTGCTGTGCCACTGAAGATGTCAACATCCCATCTATTCATATTTGCCTCTATACTATAGCTCCACTATCCATATTTTACAAGTTGTCCTTGATCCACTCCAGACAAAACAACACAGTTGGTCTAAATCTGTAACTGATAGCTAAACTGTCTTATTTTAGCTGGGGCAGATGAGGGAGCTCACACCAGCCTTCACCAGGAAAATTACGGGACAGCAGCCTCTGACAGCCATGCTGAGGCAGTCATCTGGCAGGGAGAGATGCCCCATGAAGTCTGCCAAGTTAAGTCCGGAGTACAACAAACATAATTCCATAAGCAGCTAATGAAGATCCAGAAAGGGATCCTGGCTCCCCTCCACCTCCTGCCCTTGAACATGGCACAGAGTTGACATCCTCCCACTTCCCTCACCCCACACATGCCTTCCATGCCCATCCCATGCACTGCTTGTGCCTCTGCCTCACTCTGCATCTGCCCACACCTCCAGGAATCTGTATGTTAGGCAACCAGATATGGACAGGCCAGAGGAAGAGATAAGACAAGCACTAACCCAGACACACTGGGCAGAAGAAGCTTCAAGAGGAAGAGCAGAAGTCCACAGTAGGGGAAAAAAAAAGATTTCCACTTTATTGCAGCAGAGAGAAACAAAGCCAGGAAGGGCACAGGAAGGCAAGGGGTACACACTTGGCAAAAGCCACCAAGTCATGTCAGAATACAGAAATGTCTCTGGTTAGTTCTTTTACTGATACACAATTAGTTGATAGGTATTTCATGGTATTTGGTGAGCTTCATAACGAGTTAAATCCTATTTGGCTTGTGTTACTTGACTAATGCTGTGGCATCTTTCCCAACACATTCCATGAATATTGCTTCCTGTACCAGAACCTGTCTTGCTCTACTAATAAATACTTAATAGAAAGATTACATGTTATACACATTATTCTCCGTATTTTCAACAGAGCTGCTGCCTAGGAAGAATTTCAAAGAATCATAGAATGGCCTGGGTTGGAAAGATCACCTTGTTCCAAACTCCTGCCATGGCCAGGGACACCTTTCACTAGACCAGGTTGTTTAGAGCTTCATCCAGCCTCTGAGATGGAACATCCACAGCTTCTCTGGGAAACCTCTTCCAGAGCCTCACTTTAAGCCTATGTTTCTCTAGGTTTTCAAATCCTAGGTCTTTGTACATTTTCTTCAGGCTCACATGTGAGTACAAGTGCTCCCACTCCTCGTGGAAGTGTTCTCAGGATATGTCGACACTGCCATGTCAGTACACTGTGATCCTACCTCTACTTGAGGCAGCCCCAAGGCAGCCTGAGTGCATCCCAGGCAGCACCCCAAGTGATGAGCAGCAGAATAAATCGGGCAGCATGCTGTTCCCAGGCTGCTCCCAACAACCAGAAAAACTTGTTGAAACTTCTCCCACATGGTAGTGTTCAGTACAGACCTACACACAGTTCTGGGAAGAACTGAATTACAATGAAGTAAGGAAGAGAGTATCCATACATGACTGTAAGTTTTCTGGTTTGTCTGAACGGCTTTAATTAACATACCTTGATTTCCTATGCAAGCAGGGGAAAAAAAAAATCAGTAAGAGCTGGTTTGCAGCCTCACTACGACTTTTCAAGCATCATACTATTCTGTCTTGGTGACAACAACACCCAAGACCCAACCAAAATTTCAGTTCAAAACATATTTACAAATTAAGTATCCACGAACTTACAAATTTATAACAGTATCTGTGACATCTACAGTTGCAAAGGACAAGTCTAAGAGGCTGCTCCAACGTAGCCTCATCAACCCCCACTGACAGAGCTGGCACTGACCTGTCTCCTTGGCTCTTGGCCTCACTGCCGATGCGGACAGTCCTTAAGGATGGACCTGCCCCACATGGCAGCAAAGCTGACCCATCTCCAAAGAGGAGGAAGGCAGCAAGCCAGACAGCCACCCTTCCAGATTGCCAGACAACCCCTGGCTAGACATCACCCCTCCAGCCCTACATTTTAATATCACCATCTTAAGCACATGGGCCACACCTCTTCCCTGTCTCCAACCTTCACCCTTGAAGAGAAAGAAACCTCAGTTTCTTGATGGCTGGAACCACTCTTTGGGAGCAAAAGGTGTGAGAAGAAAAAAGCGTTTTTCAACAATAAGGTCCCTGATGCAGTAGGGCCCTGCACATGCCACGATGTAACTTGTTCTTCATGTCAGGAAGGTGAGCTCTGTTCATGTGAGGCATAGCCAGAGGACCTTGAGAGACAGGCACCGTGAGGTGTGGGGCACAGCCAGAGGGTGTGGAGGAACAAGTACTGCTCAGTGCCAGACACAGTCAAAGGGTTTAGGGGCACAGACACGGTGCGGTGTAGGGCACAGACAGAAAGCTTGCAGGCCAGGCACTGAGGGGTGAAGTACACTCAGCGGCGTTGGAGGAGAAAGCACCACAGGGCACTGCCCGAGTCTAGAAGTATGGCACAGAGGGTGCAGACAGGGAGAGGGACAAGGGATGCAGGTGCAGCCGGGAGACGAAGGTGGGGAGGAAAAAATCTCAGCGCAGCACAGCCAGAGGTTTGCGGAAGAGACAAGGAGTACGCGGGAGCAACCACGGAGTTTGAAAGGAAGGTGGGCAGGAGGCAACCCGAGACCCATCCCGTCCCGCCCAGCCCTGCACGCCCCAGCGCGGGACAGACCCTGCGGACGAACGCTGTCGGCTCCTCTTCCCGAGATCACCGCGCTGCCCCGCGCTCCGGTTTCTCGCTCACGCCGGATCCACTCACGTGGCAGCAGCGCGCCCCACCTGTTCCCTCACCGCCGGGCGGCAACTGCGCGGCGGCACGGCACGGCACGGCACGGCACGGCACGGCACGGCACGGCACGGCACTGCACTGCACGGCACGGGACTGCACTGCACTGCACTGCACTGCACTGCACGGCACGGCACGGCACGGCCGGCGGGAGGGCGCGGAGGGGGCGGCGGGGGGGGGCCCCGC